TCTAAAATTAATATTTAAAAAGTTTGTTATAGATAAACTAAAATATTTTTTTTAAAAAAATTATTTTTAAAATTGCACATTTTTGGTTTATAAATAACCTAAAATTTTTTTTTTATAATCTCAAAATAAATACTATAAAAAAGTAATTTATATTTTTCTAAATTGTTAAAAAAATAGATCAGTAGTATATTTATAGTACCAATACAAGCAAATTTGCTTGCATCAGTCTACAATCTAAAGTAGTGATCGGACCTGTCTAAAAAAATGCTACCCAGGTCACCTGACAGGTGAGCCATCAGCCACCTGGGTAGAACCCACTGACGGGTAAGCTATCGGCTATCTAGGTAGGTTGTAGCTATTTTCATAATTCATGAAGCATTTGATAACTGAATGATATTCTTGCCGATTTGATTACAGTTGTTTTATAAATTCTGGAAAATCTGTTAAAATTGACTAACCAAATATCTGCCAATTCGATAAATTTGTGATTTCGGTAATGATCACATCTGAATCTTAAAAGTTATCACTACCGAATCAAAAACTTATCAAATTGGCAAATATCCAATTAGTCAATTTTTACTAGATTTTCTAGAATTTATGAAAACAGTTGTAAGCTTGTGATTTCAGCATAATAGATACAAAATTTACATATCAGATATGAATGTACATAAGTACGTACTTACATACATAACTTTTATATTCAACTTAATTTGGTAGTTTATATATATTTCTTTTCAAAAGAGGAAGATAGAATGTATATATAGTAAATTTTTTTTTAATCAGAAATTATTGACCTGCCCTTGCTCATCTTTTGGAACTTACAATTTCTAATCTTAATTCTGCTCGATATTACTGTATTAGCTCTTTGGCCAAAATAATATATATATATCCCCAAAATTTTTTTTTACTAGGGGGGAGTAATGTAAACCACCAAATCAAATTGGTCTAGCTTAACAAAAGTGTTGCTAGAACTACTAGACTTTATATGCCAGCTCTATAAAAGTTTTGGCATATGAAAATTACATGTCAGAAACTTACACATAAAAATTACGCAACTTTCTACTCTATATATAAAAATATAATACAGGTCACCCTTGTTAATATCAATCTATTTGAATTGGCTTTAAATCATGTTGATATATTAATGAGGTTGATATTGACAGGGTAACCTGTACTTGTATTCTATAGATGATTTTAATATTATAAATAATGACACATCAAATATTATTAAATTTTTGTTTGAATACTTGCCCAACATGTTTAGTGTGTATATGTAAATAACTTAATCAGATAGGCCAAAAATCATTCAGCCAATTTTTATTAGATATTCTAGAAATAATGATAATAACTGTAAAAAAAAATCACCCAGGTAGCAAGGACACGGAATTATAAATAATGATTACTGATGATTATAGCTGCTGTTATTATTCCCAGGACATCTTATAAAAAAAATTAACCGAATATTTATTCTGCTGATTCGATAAGTTATTGATTTCAGTACATTCAGTGTAATGTTTATTATTTATGGATATAGTCACTAATAGATTTTGTAAATTAAAACTTATGTAAATTATATAAAATACTACAAGGTCTCTATTTTAACGTCCTAACCACTTCCATCTTTGTAACTCACAAATGCTAGTCAGACTTTTCTTTTTTGTTAAAGTTTTAAAATATTTTCTTTAAGTAATAAATATTATATTAACCGTGCCGAAATTAATAAAACTATCGAATCAGCAAAATAATTATTTGGTGAATTTTTCACAAAATGCTTTAGGAATAATGATAACAGCTATAATCAAGTATTCTGTTTTAATTTCGAGTACCTGGTTGATGTGTCTTAGAAATTATAATAATAGCTGCAATCCACAGATGACCTGCTAGGTGATCTATCCATTTCTACCTGGGTTGCCACAATACAACCTGGGTCACCCATGGGTGAACGAGTGACCTGGGTAGTTACCCACCTGGGTCCAATCACTAATCTAAGGGATAGTAAGATTTTTTATCTATTAACAAAAATATATGTTGCTTTATCTGTTATAAAATTAATGCGGAAATAATATTACGATGTTTATTGATAACTATTATTATGTAGATTTTATAAATTTCACATAAAGAAGCATGGAATAACCACTTGTGATTCTCTGTCAATACCACTTTTAATTATCTTTGGCAAGATCTAATTTTTTAATTAATAAGGTATTGTACATAAATAGATTATAAATTAATATTTTATAACAAATTACAGAATTTTGCTACAATATAAGTATCTGGTTCAGCAGCTAGGGATGCTAGTTTTCCTTTTAATGCAGCACACTCTCCAAAAATTTGTTGCTTTGTAATTGCTAAATTGATTTCTGGATATTCATTTAAATTATCTTGTTTCAGATTTTGAATTTGACTCATAGGTACTTGCATTTGAGAAAAATCAACAATTTCTGTATTATTCATTTTGTTCGATACTCCAAAATGAGTAAATAAAGTATCATCATTTAAATCAGCATTTTTTTGTACCAATGACTTTTAACTAATAAATAGAAAATATTGCATTATTTGATTTCAATATAACTTGAAAAACATGATGACAAATAATTTCTTCACTAAATAAAAGCAGATATGTGCAAATATGTGAACGATTCTTGAGTAAAACAACATAATTTGTTGATATCAAATTGGTTGACATATGTTGAACCTTTCAAATTTCCATAATATATGTAAGATCAACACATTCAATAATAGACTTAAGTATGACTTGAGAACTATTCACAATATTTTCAAGACAAGTAGAAGAATTATTTGTATCAGGCTAAAAAAAATATATATATATGTTATTCTATTATGCCAAATTTGTAAAATTTGAATATTTAAATATAATTATTAAAGCTAAAAAACTCTTTCCGTAAATCCTTTACACAAACTTAAATAAAAATTTGTGCATCATAACTTTGCTAATATCTCAATAATTTATTAAAGAAACAGACATTTGTTGCTTAAGAAAAATTGTTCCTT